TGTTTTTAATTTCAAAATTTCGAAAAAAAAGCCTAAATCCAACAAAAAAAATCAATAAAAGAATATTATAAACTATATATACACTATAAATTAAAGACCATAAAAAATAGCACAGCCAAATGTTTATCAATTTAAATTATCCTTATTCAATTTTAACTTGTATAAAACCAAATGGAATCAATTGATTTAAATTTTTGTTTTAGCTCGGTTCAGTTTAAAATTTTGATTTTTTTTAATTCGGTTATCAAATTGAATTGTTTTACCCAATATTAATCCCTATTTCTTGCCGTATGCATGCATTGAAAACAAGCGAGCATCTAGAAAATTCGTTGGGAGTTTTCTTTCCAAACAAGCCCTATGTAGCAGAGTGATTGATATCCTGATGAATCAAATAAATCGATAAAAGAAAATTCGTTGGGGTCCTGAACTAGAAGTTTAGAGTTGAATTCCCACGCGCACAAAGGCTAGTGCTGAGATGAATCAAATGATATAATCAAAGAACTGTTGTGATCATCTAATTTAGCTATCCGTGTTGCTCTGAAATAGCAGAGTGATTGATATGCTGATGCGTACACATGCTTGTCAACAATCTTTTTGATTTTTTTTATTTATTAAAATATCACATGAGCCCTATTATCAAATAATAATTATAAAAAAAAGGGGATGCAATGATAGTAAAGCTTCGAGAGTTTTAATTTTACGGACTACAAAGTCTACGAGTCCCGTGATTTACTTCATGTAAACTGGAAGGAAGGAATGCCTTAGTTTCGATGATAGTGTCCTTCCAAGTCCTCGGTTTGGTTTGTCTTTGGCCGTTGATATTTTTCCTTCGAGGATCTTTCCTTCCAGATGGAGCAGAGAACTACCGACTTTTTGTAGTGAATGCCGTCGATTAGTTTCAATTCCATAGAATCTGCGCCTGCATTTGATCAGGCTCTTTAGCTCACTCGAAACGATTTCGAGTACTGAGGGTGAGAACGCGCAAAAAGTTTGGTGCAAAATTTGTTCACGAATATTTCATGCAACGGTTGCTTACATGTAATACTGGTTTTTATTAATATACACATATTTAATTCTAATAAAAACTTGACTTGTTTTTAATATTTATAAAGTATTTAATTAATAAATTTAATATTTGATTAATAAATCTATAATAAAAATAAAGTTTCAAAAATAAAAATATTATGCAAAAAAAATTATAATGTAAGTTTATGTTATATTAAATCATTGTTCATAAATATTATAAGTCAATGTTCTATTAAAATTTATTATTAATTAGATTTGCTGAGATTAATACATATTATATTTTTTTATTTATAAAATAAAAGAGTCATTCTCGTAAGTTGAGGTATGAAAGATATTTAAAACTAATATATAGATACTTATAACATAATGTGTATACTCAATTGATCCACATGAAAATTTTATATGGAGAAATCACTTATATTTATAGAAAGACTCACATGATAGTCGTATAAGTGATTTTTAAACTTAAAATCATTAAATTATCTCATAAGGAGTGTTATGCTTTGAACACGTTACATGTTATCCTAATGAAGAGCAACAAACTAAAAGATATTGGGTATAACATAAAATATATAAAGGTATTTAAATAATTTATAGAGGATTCATCACCAAGGTGAATTAGAAAAAAAAATATTTCATATGTTTTCAAATAGTACTGATTATAAATTCATATGCAGTATATAATAAGATTTGAAAAAAAAAATCTTATTTAAAGAATTAATTACTATTATGTTGAGAACAAATATAATTTGACAGAATAGATACATTCCAAGCTATAATATCTAAATCATAATAATTGTTGATGAAAGAATAATAATCATAATGAGAAATTAGCTATTAAAAGACTAAGTCAAACCACATTTGCCTTTTTTAATATTTAGGGGGTCATTATATGTTGCTAAATATTGTACTTGATTTTTAAAAATATCAATCAATTGTTTAATTAATGATAAATTAATTTTTTTTAATTTTATTTTATTTAGGATTGTAATTTATACTTGAGATAACTTATTAGGAAAATTAATAGGTCATACATATAAGAACTATTAATCATAAATTAAAATGAGATAATTAATCAAGTGTGATTTAATTGCAAATAAACTTTAGAAATTAAGGATTAAAATATAATTTATACAATTAATTACAATTCTAGAATTAGAAAAATTAAGTAGAGAGACTTGATTGAATAAATTTAAAAAATTATTCTGAAATAGTATATATAATATTATTTAGGAATTAAATTCATATTATGTCATTTATAGATTTTTTAGATTTTTCTATAAATAGAAAACTATGTCTTTTATTTTTTACAAGTAGAGTATAATATATAAATATCTAAAACACAAAGTAAAAGAGTTATAACTCAAAGTATAACAATCACTCTATCATAAAAGAGTTTAAAAGATACATCATTGATGGTTGTTGTAAATTACTATTATAAACCAAACACTTAGACTACTTGTGGTGGTTTATGACAATCCAGCATTAAAATAAAAAAATATTTAATTTTTAAATAATTTTTATATAAATCTAAAATTATTTTATATTTATCTAATAATATCCTTGAATTTTTGAAAAGATCCGAATGAGTTGTTAGCAATGATGCTAACATCCCTAAAAAATGTAGTGTGATGACAAAAAAATTAAGATTTATATAAATCTCGAATTCGAGTCAAGTATATTTTTTTTATAAAATTTTAAAATAACTAAGTTTTAGTTAATGATCTGTATCCATAAAATATGATTGACGAGAAATAAGGTTTTCTTAAATTAAAAACAAAAAAGAAATGGTGCTAACATCAAGGAGGACGAAAGGGAGTCATCGGAGGGAGGGAGAGATAATAGTTTGTTGTAACAGAGTTCTATATTCTCTCTCGTTTTTCCTCCTTCATTCTAGAATAACGTTCTTTTCTTCTTGATACAGAAACATGACAGGTGGTCATGATTTAAACTAAATGCTGCATAAGCTGAAATAATAAAACGGTGCGTATTTGGCTGAACTTAAAACGGTGTGTTTTTACCGAGTTTAAATTCTCAGACTGTTGTAACGGTCTCAGATTGTTCTAACGGTCATTTCCTTTTCTTCTCTGGAATTGATCCTTACTTTTAAGCCCAAGCCCGTGACAATGCCCCTTCCTTTAGAGAGTGTCCTTGTCCTCAAGTGAAATTAGGAAAACCTCAATGCCAATTCTTCGAGTAACTCCCTAGTGGCTTCTGTTGGAGGCAGTCCTTTCTAGAGAATCAACAACTGCAAGACTGCCTGATGATTCTTTTTCACCGTTCTTCGTCCCAAGATTGCTTGTGGCTGGAGAGTGGGTTCCCCGGGGAAATCAGGTAAACTGGCGTGCACCATTTTTGTTTCCCACTCGCTTCTTCAACTGCGAGACATGAAAAACTAGATGACTGGTCGCAGAGCGAGGTGATATCAACTTGTAAGCCACCGCACCAATTATCTACTGAATTTGGTGAGGTCCATGGTATTTAGATGCCGGTTTTTGTGAACTTTTGTTATAGCTACTGTCTTCTGTCTGTAGGGATGTAGTTTAATGTAGACAAAGTCACCAATGTAGAATATCCTCTCACTTCTCTTCTTATTAGCCATTTCTTGAGCAACTAGTAAATTTTCTCTGATTACCTTGAGCATGTGTTCTCTCCTTGTCAAGTAGTCATTAATTTACAACTTCAATAGGTGAGTGTTTAGGAAAAGAGGGAATACGTATTGGAGGAACAACCCGTACAAGATAGGAAAATAGGGAATATGTATTGGAGGAACAAACCCATGCAAGATATCATAGGGAGTGGATTTAGTGGAAGTGTGATGGTTTTGTACCACCACTCTGCTAATGGCAGCCATCTTGACCATTGATACATACCCGAGGTAGGTTTTCAAACACTTGTTGACAACCTTAATCTGTCTATTTGATTAAGGGTGGTAAGCAATTGAGTAGCATATATCCATTTCCTGGTAAGAAAATAATTGTCTCGATGTGAAATTGATTTAAAAACACAACATTTATCTCACCAACTATGACAACAGGTAATCCATATAGTTTCTAAATGTTGTCAATGAAAGCGTTAGCAACAATAAAGGCAATATAAGCATATGGTTGAGAGCTATAAAATAACTTTACTTACTAAACTGATGTACCATGCTAGGATAACTTCCTTTTCGTTTGACTACTTGGATAAACCTTCTATGAAATCATATATATAAATGAAGGGTGCTTGAGGAATGGGTAAGGGTTGTAGCAGCATGATGTGAGAACATTTTTAGATTTATTTTTCTGAAAAAATAATATTTTTACAACCCAAACATATGTATATAGATTTAGATTCGCAGCACATCTTATTTAGATCTTTTTTCCTCTAAAAGATTAGGTGTTTTTTGGGAGGAAAACCAAAACTTTAAACAATATAGGATAAAAACTAAATATATGAGGTGAGGAAGTCTACGAGAATCAGGAAAACAATTTGCAGAAAATTCTTCCTACAACTCTTTTTTTTATATTAAGTTTTGGAATTAAAATTAATAAGAATTAAATTTAATAATTACCATAATAAATTTATTTCATTATCTACTTTGATTATCCATCTAAAAACCAGAATGAAACCTAAGAAACTAATCGGATTTAATTCATGGGATGGACAACTAGAAAAAAAAAATCTTCATGGATCATTGGCAAGAAAATAATCTCTTATAGCACAAACACCCACATGTACATACTTTAAATCCAAAACTTATTTTGTTTAAATGCTATTTCTCTAAAAAATTTAGTGTGTTTTTGGGCTCAATTGTAATTTCTCACCTTCACACTATAAAAATAACATGCAATGTTTCTTCACTATAAATAACAAGTAAATAAACTCTAGTTTTAATTTGGCATGAAAAATGCCTCATTAATAATGTTTTAACAATTTTTTTCCAGCATGGAGTGCTTCTTCTCGCCTTACTCAGGCCTTACTCAGCTGTTTACACTTCCATCCAGCTAGTCGACAATGAATGTTCTCTGAAATATGCTTAAATTAACGACTCCTTGCTCCTCTTGACATCCGAAGACACACCCAGAATTGGCAAATTTATGAAGAGACACACCCAGAATTGGCAAATTTATGAAGCGCGAACATCAACTTGCATAGCTAGCCCGTTATTGGCGTCATATTTTTTGTTTGGGCCGCGGGGGGAATTTAAGGATGCGTGTTTAACTGGATTCTTTCAATAACGACTACTATGCTAATTATGCTCTCCTCAGGGAGCAATGTTCTTGGCTGCTGCCCTGGTTCTTCCCGCCCGAAGTATAAGACCACAACTATAACCTAATTACACCAATTCCTAATTCTCTATCTGTGTCTCTCTCCACTCCAAATTCTCCAATACTTTCTCTTTGCATTGCAAATTCTCTGCTCTCTCTCTCTCTCTCTCTCTCTCTTTATTACTGGTTTCTTTATTTCATCTTCCTTACTTCAAGAATGGATGATATCCCTGAAGCTACGGCTAGGCTTACCTCTATCATCAATCGTGGATCATCCGCCTTAAAAAATGCCCACTTTGATAAAGCTGCTAGGTACTTCAAGAAGGCTCGTGATGCCAGGTGAGGTTTCTTTTGTTTGTGTTTCTTGATACTCTTTAGGTTTCTTTATGCCCTTCTGATATGCCTTTTGTTGTTCATTGCCTGGTTTCCTAGTTGTATTTGTTTTCTTGTTGTTTGTTTGCTGAGAAAGTGTGTTTTAGATGCTGGGTTTTCGTGCTTCTTGTCCGTAAGTTTTCTACTAATCCAAACTCCTTGTTTTGGTTAAAATGATCGGGCTGGAATTACTGTAGTCTTGTATAGAAAAGAAGGATTCTTCTAAATACAAACCTTTGATTTTACTAATGTTAAACCGATATCTAGGATTAAAGTGCTTTTGGTCTTTGATGTGCACTGTTTCCTCAAAATTTCGTTGAGTTTTATGCAAGATCACAATCCTGGGAAAGAATTTTAAGACAATAGCCTCATTCTTATACTGTATCGTGTTTCTAAAATTTGGGTATCCATAATTCTTTTTTGTGTTTGTGTTTCCTGCTAGTGAATCGAAAATCGTCTTCACGAATTAAGTTGTGTTTATTCTTTCTTTATTCAGCGTTCAACTCCAAGGTGAACGTACTTTGGAACGCTCCCTTTTGCACCATTTATATGGTGTTTCCTTGCTGTACGAAATTCCATTTCAGGGAGATGATGATCCGTTGGAATTTTTACCGAGGGAAGCTGATTACTATCTTGCTAAAGATAGACCTTATAGTTCTTATAGCAAGTTATACAGCGGTTAGTAATTCCCCTCCTTGTAAAAAATACTATATTTTTTTTCAACTCTGTTTGTTTTGGTGATCTCTGTCTTCATGAACTCTTATTGTCTAACATGACGTTTAAGTATTCTCCTTTTTTTTGGTTGCTGAAGTATATGGTCACCGATAACAATTCCTTCTCAATCGTTTTGCCAGTTAAGACCCTATCAGGTTTTCATTACAGAGGTGTACATGTAAATGGAGGACGACCTCTCAAAATTGATAAATAACCACAAATGGCTAATTGCTTGAGGCTTTGAGCAATTCATTGTGATTTGACAGAAAAGGACAAGAGTCCACGCATGTTGCAAAATTCCCACATTGAATCTCTGTTAGAATCACATAATGCTTGCAATCCTATTGTTGCTATGAAAGCTCATGTCAGATTCTTCTCTGATTATGTATACTGTGCCTGGAACCAGTTATTCCTTCATTTTATCTCTTTTCATGGTGGAAGGTACTGTTAGCCAAGAGGACTATGCAAATCAGATGGAAGCTGCACAGAAAGAACTAAAGATTGCATGGTCAATTCTGGAAAATGAATCAAACTGCTTAAAAGAGAAAGCTAGTACACTCTGCGCCCTTGGGGAAGTTGCATTGAGAAGGGGTTGGCTCGTTTCTCCTGCTTAACAAGAAGTTGCGCATAAATCTTTTATCTTCCATGCAAAAGAACATGTTGGTTGTATCTCATTGTCTGTGCTGCATTTTGTAGGGGAACCAAATCCTGAGCGTTATTATATCCAAGCATCATCCTTCTTTGAGAGTTTGGAAGGAGAAATTCATAAACAGCGAATAGTCCATATGTATCCCTTACTGGTCTGGTATTGGATCTCATGGTTTGGGAAAAAAAAAAACCCATACCTGTCTTATCACTACTGTTTACGTCTATTTCGAATTCGAAACCTGCATTACGAATTATTACACACATCCGTACATCAGGATTCAGAAATGTCAAAATATGCATCTGCCTTGAGGGCAGCGACAAGATTAAAGCCATTGAATACGGCGAGAAGGCTCTGTCATCCTATCAGGCTCAACTGAAGCGGCTAATATCTGAAACACAGAGCTCATCCAAATCTGTAGAATCAAAAACTTCCTCTGATTCGGAATCGTCTTCAGCCACACAAATTGATCCTTCTATTCAGAAAAAGAAAAATGAAAGGAGCATGCTGATTAAAATTTTAAGTAAGCTGCAATTCAAGGTGATTTCTTGTGTTTGATAACTTTTCTATTCATTCTCATTACAAAAAGAAAAGGAAAAAAAAAAAAAAATCCTCCAGAATGTAATCCAGCAGCCTACTTTTTTTCTTGTTTTTTTTTGCAGCTTGATGATCTGAAGGCAGGTTCATCCGCCTCACCAAACCTGGAAGGAACTTCACTGGCTCCAGCTGGTCATAGAGATGGAAAAGAAAAGGTGTCCCAATTAATACAAGTCCTGAGAATTGATAAGCAGTTTGATAACTGAGAAATGATCAGCCAACCGATTCTCTGCAAAGAATCAGATATGGGTGATGGATTAATATAGTGAACATTGTCGTCTTACCTCTTCTTAACGCCAAGAACATTGCTTTTTTGATACGTCTGTTCTTTAATACATTTTTTTGGTGATCTAGTTACGTGTATAATTTTTCACTCGTCGGAAAGGGAAAGAAACAAATACTATAATATAAAATATAATTGGAATTATACATGAATTATTAGATTCTTTAATAAATTAATTTAAATATAAATTATAATCATAAATAAAATAAACTAATTTATTATCAATTTAATAATTAATTAATTTATATTTGAAGATTAAACACAATATCAAATATTAAGAAAGTCATAATTTGTTTGATTTAAACTTTTAATGATTAGTTTTTTAATATAATTTTTAGTGATTAGTTTTTTTAATATAATTATTATCCTTTCATTATCAATGTTTTGATTTGGATATTATAGCATTAAATTAAATATATATACTATATTAAGTCATGTTTGTTTTCAATACTACAATTATTGGTTTTTTGAATAATATGTGAAAGTATTTTTAAATTTCATTCCACTTTTTGTAGGAATTTATAATTAATATTATTTTAAATTATATGAAATACTTTTTCTAATTCACATAGGATTATAAATTATTTTTTAATTACTTAATTATATTTATATAGTTTATATTATACTTAATATTTACTCATTTGTTATCTTTGATTAGAATAACAATCTAGTAGAATTAAAATATAATATTCTCTTTTTAAAATAACTTGATGAAAAAAAATTCACTTTAAAATTACATCTTTAATCCTATACTTTGGATCTAAAACTTTTTATAATGCCTTTGCACTTTTGATGGAACTCTATATATCATACCCTTTATTATCCAAATCATTTGAAATATAGTTCTTTGGACATAAATTACTATAATTTCATGTGTCTATAACTGCCACAATATAATGAAATTAAGTTCATCATTAAATAAGTTGGGCATATCTTTAGTTAAGAATTTTACCATATTCAAAATGATCAAATAAAATAATATTTCTTGTTATCACCTTTTAAATTTCAAATTATTAACCTTTTAATGTTTTTAACAATACATCACATAAAATAATGATGAAATTCTTCCTACCAGAGTAATAATTATCGTAGTAACAGTTGCAATAGCAATTATCTTTTAAGTAGAAGTCATAGTTATTTAAGCTAAAAAAACTATAGTCAAATATATATTTTTCTTAAAAATTGGCTTAGAACATGCAAATAAAAATTATATATATATATATATATATAAAAATTTAGTATCAAATTTATAAATTAAACAACAAAGAAATATATTAAACTAAACAATTAAACATATAATTTCATTTGACCTTAAGGTTGTTGGGAAAATTATTTAGTAAAACCAATGAAACATATTTGCAAGATAATAAAAACATGAACACAAAATATTAAAAAAGAAGAAGATAAGGATAGAGTATTTATTTGTAGAATTGTAGATATGAATTAAAACCAAAACGGGAAAGAAAATTGTTTCCAAGGATTGTATTCTCTGTATTTAAAGCTAAATTGTCTGTCAATATGTGTAAACAATATCAGTGCAACTTGCCTTCCATTATGTCAATAACAATACCTCGAAAAGATATACTCCCAATCAAGGCCTAAAAAGTAGAAAAGTTGAACATTTTCTCAGCTACAATGAAATTTTCTTTGCAACAAGGAAACCTAAAGCTAGAGGAAAGAGAGCACAAGAGCAAACAGTGCAAAGAGAGGGCAAAAAAATTATATTTGTTTTTCTCCTTTCTATTTCTTTCTAGCTTTACAGTGAATGCTAAGAATGAAGATTAATTCAAAATTATTTCCTAGAAATTCATTACAGTGAATGCGAGAAGATTTAATGGAAGGGAATTAATTCAATATTAATTACTGTCTTAAATTTTGATAATTCATTGGATTTGTAGAATGACAAAATACAAAAAATAATCAGTCAACTTTACATTAAAAAGAAAAGGATTTTATATAATATACAAATCCAAAAACTTTTTTTTTCCTTGGTGATTGAACGTGGGTGACTTCCTGGTGATTGAACGTGGGTGGCTTCCCTCTCAACCTTGTCGTCTTTTCTGTTTCGAACACCGTGAGTCCGTGAGCAATGCCAAATCTTTCATCTTTTCAGCTATAGGATTTCTCCTGTCACCCAGAACTTTGATAGTTAAGTCTGTTGATTAATTCAATTTTTGCAGAATTTAGTATCTGTTTGGTGTATGATTTTTCTCTTATTGGAAAAAGAAAGAAACAAAATCAGGTACAATTATTAAGAAGCGTTGCATCTAAAAGTTATCACCTCCAAATTCAACTAGCAAATGCTATGAATTTTTCTCAAAACAATCAGTAAAGAAATTATCTATGCGGTCTAATGATTGATGTTGTAAAGTAGGACGAGAACTGAAGACAAAATACGCCAGCAGGATGTTTAAAGTGGATGGGATCATGAGACAACTTAATGCCATGGGATTGCAGGTGAAAGACGTGCAGGAGCACAGCAGTTTGTGGTTGACGGGGAGCAGGGTGAGTGCAAGTTGATAGAACACTGTCTAGAATAGAACTGAACTTGTGGCCTATCTCTATGGCCAAGAAAAAGAAAACCAAGTTGTTGTCAACCATGTCAAGATCATGAATGGCTTATGAAATACAAACAGGGTCTCTATTTGAGTCAATAGCATGTAATGAACCAATTTGAAGCAAAATTATGCTTCTTTATCCCTAAATCATAGAGAATAAATATTTTGGCTCTGGGAAAAGTTTGAAGATTTAGGAGCAGTTTCCAGCCTTGAAATGATGAAACCTCTTATTGTCTCTCACAATAATCTATCGGTCTTCCATTTTGGAAAGGATCTCGATGAAATTATGGCAGTCCCCACAAATCCTTAGGTTTTTCATTATCCTTAAGGAGGTCCCAGGAGGAGTATTGATAAGCCCATAAACAATGGCTATCCTTTCAATGTGGTAGAACAAGGACTTCTCCTTCGCCTCTTGGTCAAGATCATGAAATGATGAAACACAGACCTCTTGTCCGGCAAATATCCAGCATCCCTTACCTTCCACAACTTTTCATATGCCTTGATCCCGTCTGAAGTCGCTCTTTTTTATAATTTATGTTAAAGCTGTCCTTTGCCCTTATGGTGACACAGAATAACCCAGCTGCCCTTGTGTTATGGCTTTCGAGTGCTTCTGTAGAGTCTCCCAAACTCTGGTGTTTGAGTCAATTGGTATATTTGCAGCCAACTCCATTGCACTCCACTATCTTTCCTGATCTTCCAAGAAGATCAACCGTAGCTTCATAATGCTCTTCTACGAGAGTGATCCCGTAACCCCTGCTCATTGACTCAAAATGCTTATGTACTTCCTTCTCTGCCCCTAAGCACATGCAAGCCATTAAAACAACAACAAAGCTAGACCCATATGGCCTAATCCCATCTTTCATCTGGGAAAAGATTTCAAGAGCCTTTCTCCTTTGTAATTCTCTGTCAAGCCCAACAGCATCTTGTTCCAAGAATCCAAATTTCGTGCTCCCATTTGCTCAAATATCTCTCTTGCCCCATTTGCATCGCCCAGTTTACAGTATATGTCCGCCAGATTATTCAGGACAACACTGGTCTAAAGCTTTGACGAAGACCTCATAACATACTCATCTACCCTTTTCCCTGGTTCCAGCAATTTTAAATCAGCACAAGCTTGTATCAACTTACAATATCAAGCAAGTCTGCATAACCTCCATTCTTCTCCTTTTCATCCATGATTTCAAAAGCTACCTCCACTTTCCCTTATTTGCATAATTGCTCAACTTCTGGCTTCACCTGGTTATCTCCTTGAACACTAGCAACTTCTCGCTAATAAATTCTTGAAACCACTGCTAAATCTTTATTATTTGTCACTTGGAAACTTCTACTGCTAACACTCAATAGCACAAGAAACGAGCTTGAGGGGATCAGGAGAATGTTTGGTTACAGCTTTAATACTCGGTTGTTAAAAACAAACTCAGAGAACTAGCCATTACATGAGAAATGGGAAAAATTGAAAATATATTTCTTTGGGTTTTTGGTTTTCAAATTCCTTTTGAGCTTCTATTGGCTAATTCCACCATTAAAGAATGCGTTATAATTTGAAGAAATGCACAAGCTCTGCAAAGATACTCATGCCTTATCCACGATGGAGCAGCCCCAACCAGAAATATCTTGCTGAAGCTCCACATGAATATTGCTCTGGAAAAGGACCCGGGGGTCTGGATAAGACATGGGAAAAAAAAAAAACAGAAATTTGTATCATTTATGTCTTTGTTACAATCTCATGACGTGAAAGATGGAGTAAATGGTGAGTGGAAGATGCTATATATGGTTTACATCTAGAAATAACCGTGTATACAGATTGATACATGCATCATCTTCTAGTGTTGATTGATCTCGATATCCAGCTCCATGCAAATGCAGCGCCACTTTTCTTTTTTTTCTCATACTACCATGGGTAAATTATTGGCATTGTCTCAAGGCATGAGTCTAAGATTGTGGTTAGGCATCATAAAGGTAACACGGTTAAACTTCAAGGACAAGCCTCTCACACCATCAGAAAGTCCCACAGTTTTTTAACTCAGAATGGGTCCAGTGAAATAAAATCTCTATGCTAACTCGGGTTTCACAGTCAGAGGTTCCCTATCTTCATCATGGATCAAACAAGGATAAATGCAAACATGCTATATCAACAGCCTCTCATTCCTTGAATCACAAAGACATCGAAAAACACAGGAGAAAATGCTTATCGATGCACCTTTTTCTTTGCTTCAATATCACAGACCGGATTCAAGTTAATTCCCTTTCCTGTTATAAGCTTTCTGTTTTCTTCACCAAAAACTCCAAAATAGGTACACTTCTTTGTTGGATCTTAAGCTGAAAAACTTCTGAAAACTCCCTGATCAAGGATTGGCTAGTAATATCAATCAGTTGTGAATAATCAAAATGATGTGCCTTTGCATTTGAGCAGGATTCTTCCAGTAACCCCTTTATGCTTCCAACCTTCCGGTTCCTGATCCCACATGGAACTATCAAATTAAAAGGTGCCAAATCTGTAGTGACATTCAGTGCTAAACCATGATATGCTATCCATTGAGATACTTTTATACCAATTGCAGCCAGTTTCTGATCTCCTGCATTAGAATTTAAAAAAGAACAATCAGGAGAGAAATAAACACCAGCCCTGCCCTCCCCCCACACACCAAGTTCAAAGATTCTCTTTCATTCTGTAATTTCACACATTGCAAAGTGTCTAAAAGCATTCATTAGCTGTTACAGTATCTGTATTACAACTAATAACATTATAGGAGAAACAAATGAGTGTTAAGGAATCCTTAACAAGTTACAAGAAGGGATTGAGAGATCGAAGCAAATAGAGATTGAGAGTGTTTTGCAATTCCTTATAGAAAAGACGATTCATTCTTTACTTGCTCTCTAAGTTTTACAATGTCTGTAATTATTTTTCTCCATGCTAACTAACTAATTGTTCCCAACTAACTAACAGTTTAACAAACAACTTCCACAACTATCTCTTCTTGCTTAACTAATTTCCATCACATGGGAATTATTAACAGCACATGCTGAATTACTACAGCTATTTACAAACACATGATCATTTACCCTTCTGCTACGACTGCTAGTCTGCTATTTTACTAGAGCTCACATTTCTTCATGTTATTGTAACAATGAGCTAACTAAAATCTGTTCTCATTGAGCTCTACTAAGAAAGCATATGCCAATAAACCTTCAAAAAGCAATATACAGACAATATGAGATGCGTACATTGTTTCAAGCTCATGCAGACCTGGATAACTGTAATTTGACCAATACCAAATGCAAATGAAGGACAAAGAAGCATACCAACCCAAACTCCAGTTAAACCCTCAATCCTGGAAGCCTTGATAGAAAATGTTGAGGAAAGAACACGAATGACCACCTCCTCAAGTTCCCTGAGGTACCAATGAAGATCCATCTTGTGATTTCGAAGATTGATAATTGGGTACATAGTTAGCTACAATGCAACACCCATGCATTACCAGTCAGGCTTCAATAGTATGAAATTCGGTGACCGTCTATTCAAATTAAATTGATTGACATGCTTAATCAAAGCTCAAAAAATTAACCCACATAGTCAATATGGCAAACAACATCGCACAACCATACATGTTACACAAAGCAATGCTAGCCACAATTATAGAGCGTTGGTTTCATAATATTAGCCAAGTACCTGGCCAGGCCCGTGATAGGTAACTTCTCCACCTCGTTCAGTACGATAAACCTCAAAAGGAGCATTATTTATGTCAAAATTCAGGTATTCTATAGAACTACCAGTACCCATTGTATACACAGGTTGATGCTGCAAAACAATCAGTGTATCTGGGCATTCTTCATTCCTTTCAATCAACCCGCTTTTCTCTCTAACAATCACTTTCTGCCAATTCCAAGCATCTCCATATGGGACTAGCTCTTTATGCAAATCAAAACACTCGCACCTGAAAAGATCTCCAAACTTAGCCTGTGAATGGGTTTCTCTGAAATGAAGGAAAGATGGTTGTTAAAATGTGCGAGAAAAAACAGAGCAGCTTACATTTTGTCACCTTTGTGAGTTACTGAGGTAAACTCTTGGCCTTTTTGAGACGAAACAAGATTCAATGGGATGATTTTGCGGGATTGAGATTGGTGCCTGGTTGTTGGGCATATTGGGAATGAACCAAAATTTGAAGTTGTTGTTGCCTGGATGATCATCACTTATTTTCAGAACAGAGGAGAAATTATTTTGGGGACAAAGTTTGGATTAATGAAAGTTTTCAGCACACAAAATCCCGGGGTAGCGAAGAAACCAAAGATGAATATGATTGTGTGCACAGGTTGGTGGCATTTCCTTGTGCTTGAAAGTTTTAAACAAACGATGGCTTCGTTTTTATTCCCGAACTCTCCAAAATCGTATCTTATGTTTTTTTAATGGGCCGACTAGAGCCCGAAATGTTTAACCCACCCGTGGTGTTTATTTTTAGCCTTTAGACCAGACCGGCTACAGGTCTAGACAATTTGAAATATTTTTTTATGGTCAAGATAATGTTTTTTTGAAAATAAAAGATTTTTTTATTCTTTTTATAAAAATAAACGATTTGGATCGACTCTTCCAACCCGTAATTCTAACCTGTAATTCGAGTCTTGTACAGAGCAGACCCCGGATTGGAGTTTAAAACTATAATTTAAAGATGAGTTCTTTCTTTCTTTCCCAGTTAGCAATGAATAAAAAAACTCATTCATAAATTTCAAATGCTGATAATATTATTGTTTTGCTTCTCCTTGCAGTCCCTCCCAATAAGGGTTGAAATGCAGTCAGTTTGAGTGGCAAAGTCTAAAATTGGGCATGCCATTGTGATGATACTTCAAGCAGGGTTGTCGGAGAAATTTTCTAATGTACCTTCGGCTACTAGCTTGGATCTTGCCTGTTTTGCTGGAGCGGTCCTGATATCCTCAGCTTGGATATTCCCACTCCCAAGACTGTCCTGGTGCTATGGAAGACAGGAAGCTAAAAGGATAGATGCTACTTTATTATTATTATTATGATCTTAACCCATTCTTTTATATGTGCTGCAACTTGCTTATATAAAAAACAAAAGCGATCCCTAACTCAATTCCCAAAACAATAAGATGCATTCTCCTAGAAATAATAATAAAAATATAGTGTTCATTTTGGCTTCAAAGGTTGATATGAAACGGGTAAATAGAGGGTTATATAGCAAATTGTAGACGACAGTCTAGAATATTATAATCTTACAGAATCTCATTCATTAACACTAACATTATCTATATCAGATGAAACACACATCTTGCAACTTCTGATGGAGGAGGGATTAGCGTAGGTACAGCGATCACAATGCCAAGAATCTTCAACTTCATCCTCTAGGCCCTTGGTCCCGTTGGAGTTCACATCAGCTAGGCCATTCTCCAATGCTACAACAAGCTTCTCGAAGTAATTCCCTGTCACAGTAGTTAGTCCAACCAGCTTTGTTCGGAATTCGCTGAATTTCTTTGATAGGCCATCAACATCAAGAAACTCCTTCAGCTCGTTCTCCACACAGTTATGAAGCTTTTCCAGGGTCGACTCTGCCTCCCCTTGCAAGTACTCAAAAAACTGTTTTTTAGCAGGCTCATTGTCAGGCAGGTAGTATCCATATGAATAACTCCATTCCAGTGCTCGCCTACATTCAACTACCTGTAGCCACGCCTTTGATATGAACTCGAAATGGGCCTCTGGTATGTCTTGTGACACACTCAGCTTCTTGAACTCTTCATCTTTCACTCTTTGATGATCTGCAAGTGCCTTCAACTTCGATTTTCGATTGGCATCCCAACGTTCAAAATAATGAGTATATTTCTCTAAAGATTCCTTTGCCAATTTTTTCCTCTTGTCATCTGTATCAGTTCTTTCCATGTATCGGTTGCAATTCATATGGCCTTTCCATGGACCCAAACATAACCAACAAAATTCGTAGCGGCAAACCCTGCATGTCATGTGCATACACCCATGATTTTTTTCAATTGGTCTCTTGCAATTGGGACAGGGCTTGCAATAAGCTAGTATATAATTTACATTTTCCGATTCTGAGCTGTTCTTCAAAATCCACCTTTTCACAGTGTCACAGTCCATTGGACGGTGGCATTCCTCCTTGCAATTCCAGCAAAAACTAGTGAAACAATGGCAAGTGACATCAAAGATTCCATCAGCACCAGAAAATTCAATAGCATACTCACAGGCTGGGCCAGGACACCACTTTGTCGTCCTATTATCTTCAACATAAGATCTAAGAAGGAAATCAGAATACTTCCTCCTATCTTCTTCAGATGTTAATGAATCGATCATGTCTTGACCGATAGCAGCATGACAAGAGGGCTCGGGACACCTCAACATCAAACACCCAGCACCATCGTTGTTAATTGATGTGCTAATATAGATAGACCAACAAATTTCACAATAAAGATGCCCACAGTCAGCATATCTGATTCTATCACTGGTGTAGGATTCAAAACAAATCCCACAAATGATAATTTTCCTCTTATTGGAGACAATATCAGAACCCGTCACAGATTTCACGAACAACCCGACTTTTTCACGGACTGCAGACTCATCAGTAAACCATGCATCATTGACTTTACTAACAGACCAGTTATAATTACGGAGTAAGATACTTGCCTCAGTTTTGGATACAGAGAGGACGGCAGAGACTTGGGCGACATCATGCTCCATGCGTTGACGAAGCTCTGTTGCGTTCAGGATTTTGCAGTCCTGTTGCTTCTGCTTGAGGAGGTCAATTTCATCCTCTCTTATATCCTCCAAAAGAGCATCAGCAGCACCATCATCACCACCAACAAGATCATCATCAGATAAGAAAAAAGGATCCTCGTTATCATCGAACCCATCACTGTAGTAATTGATTTTTGACTCCACCTTGATGCTGTCGCTTGAAGGGTAGATGTCGTCCATGGCTAGAGAACAGGTGAGAGAAAGAATATTGAATATCAGGAGCCTCAAAACTACTCTACCATGTATAAAAAACAAAACCCTAAACTAATTACAGTTAATTACGGTGGTTCCATGGTCATATCCGTCCTTTTCCTGTTAATTTGTCTCCACAGGCGACGTCCTACAGAATTTTTTTTTTTTTCCCGCAGAGGGTCCCATCCCATCCTTGGAATTTCTTTTCCAACAAGAAGTCGTCCCGTCCCTCCATAGTCATTCTTTATTGCCTTCCTTGCGAGAAAATCTTCTATGACAAGCTAAAAAAAGAGCCCACCGTCACATCCCACGTAACAAAAGTTCTCGGCAAGGGAAATTATATTATGGGAACTTCGTCGTATTATCTGTCCGCCTTCCCATTCAATTACCTTTTGATCCATCCAACCCGACTGGTGTAAGTGGACTCTGGTGATTTGTGCTTCGTCTTACCCCTTTATCAAAAAGCATAAACACAAATGGCCTTTGGTAATGCCTTCCACATCTTCAAGTATCAAAACCTTATTACAGCATCGATAGACAAACAAAAAGATAAATAAAATTGCCGTCTTTTCAATTCCAAGAAATACACCGAGGACAAAATCCAATAACTTCTTTATTTTTATGATATCTACAATCAAAGCTTTGGCTTTGAAATGTTGCGAACCAGTTCCCTATAATATTCATGGCAAAATCTCCGGATAGGACTCACTCACTCTGTGAAAGATAGTCCATAAATGAGTTCCCCATAAGAAAAATCCTTTTGATTGATTGATGTGTTGAAGAAAATAACTAACAAATTTAGTATTATTTGACTGGTTGCAACGAAATAGGAAATAAAATACCCTACCAAGTAATAAATGAAATGGGCCTTTTCTTACTAATTGATTGGTTTCCCCCTTTTTTTTTAAAAAAAAACTAACCTTCCTAATTAACTATATATACATGGATAATAAATTGCTGTGTTAGGGTGTATTTTTTATTAATTATTTATGTTGTTATTTAATTTTCTCTGTTTTTTTGTCTAACTTCAACAAAAAAAAAGAGACAGAATTTATGCTAAGGTAGACAACAAAAAATAATATTTTATACAGTGAAAAGGAAAACGTATGAACGTAGCAAAGATATTTAACTGTTCTTTTTTTATAAATACTACATACATAAATATAAAACTAAGTTATTGAATTTCTATGGATGCAAAGTTACATTCACTTTTCAAAGTATAATAATATTTACTCCAATAAAAATTTATAATATTGCTTAAATCACTGATACAAAATTCTTTCAAATGGCTCATAGTGTTTAATATAATATTATATTGATATTTAATTAGTTGCAAAATGCGAACGGAGTATAATTGTTGGAATAAAATAAAAAGAAAAGTATATTCAAGATAGAAAGAAGTTACTGTCTAGAAAAAAATTCACACAATAACTATATATATAGTTGTGCATGTTAATTTGTTCATAATAAATCTTAATAAAGGAATATGCAAATAAATATTATGATCCTAAAAATTATATAAGTAAATTAGGAAATGGATGTTGTTATGAAGAGAGTGTTATGGTAGTACAATAAAAGAGAATCAAGAGAAGATTTAATAGAATCTGCAATACCCCCAGAGTTAAAGCAATACCCCCCCCCCCCCCCCCCCCCCGGAATTAGAGCATGTAGATTCATGGTGCCCAATTGCCTAATCTGAGTGCTTTAGCATGAATGTCAACAAGTTGGTATGATGAAATATGAGTTGTATCCAAGTGTTTTGCTTGAATGTGATAATGAACAAAATATAACTAACTTTAATGTATTTGACTCTTTCATCAAAAATTAGATTGATTGATAATAACATCAAGATATGTTTTATTATCATAATAGAAACAAGCTAGAGACAGGAAACACCGAGGTAATTTGGCTGCTAACATTCTTATTTTTAAAGGATGTTCAAGGTATATTTATATTGACTAATGATAATGTTTTATGGTAAGCTAGTTATTTCAAAATTGAGAAAGTAATTAAAAGAATCCAAAAATTTTTAGGTGGAATTACCTATAAAAATAATGTTTAAGTTCAATAATGAGTTATTTCCTTGGATGATAACATCATCATCATAAATGGATACAACAATAAAATTATCTATATAATTATATATAAAGGGAGAATGACCAACATTAGATTGTTGGCAACCAATAGAAACGATTGAAGATGTGAATTTTTTAAATCATTACCAAGATGCTTACTTGAGTCTATCTCTATAAGAACTTGTAAAGTCTACAAATTTAGATATCACCTGAATGACAATCCTTGAGGGACTTTCATATAAATCTATTAATGTGGATCACCATGTAAGAAGACATTACACATGTCTAATGGGTGCAACTCTCATCTCTAAATGGTAACATAAACAAAAAACAAATTATACTGAATTTGGTAACGAGAGTAAAAGTTTATGTGTAACCTATTCTTTCAACTTGAGTGAATCTTTTAACAAGTAAATGAGATTTAAGTTACTTTATGGTACTATTTTCTTTATATTTAATTTTGTATATCCATTTTGAGTTAATTTTATATTTATTTAGAGGTAAATGTTGAAATGTCCAAGTTTGGTTGTTTTTTAATACTTTGATTTTCTTCTGCAAGTTGTTTTTCATTAAACATATTTGATTGTACATGAGAAAAAAGTAGGCTCATTTATGAAAAAGATGGCTAGTATATAAACTTTGTGTGGAGACAAGAAACTATTATATATATATATATATACAATGGAAAAAGGATATAAAATACTTAAATTTATAGTTAAAAGTGGTTTGGTATTCAGTTTTAGAAAAGTTCAAATATCATAAGAGAAACCTTGAAGTTTTTTAGAGATTTAGCATGTATAATATGGTATAGATATTAATTCAAGTAGAAGTACAAGGTTTAAAGTTAAAGATTAAATGTTATTTTCTTTTACCAAAGGTGTTGGTATGTTGTGATATTCATATAGTTAATGGGTTCTATATAGAAATTATACAATAAAAGAGACAAGACAACTTGGGTATTATAGGGTGGTTTTTGATTTTCATAAGAAAATATTGGTTTATAAAATAACACATCACACAAAATAAAGAGTGTTTTATTTTTTAAATCATAAATCTTATATTCATATTAACCATGAGAATAACCAAGAAATATACATGAAGTTTGTTTTTCATAAGATATAGCAAGGTACATATAGAAAAATCATCAACTATAGTCAAGAAATAATGTGCTTCACTCAAAGAAAATATGGCATAATAACCTCATATATCACCTTGATGTTTACCCAAGACAAACTTTCTTGGTTTTCGGGTCATTAAAAAACAAAAAAAATCAGGAAAGAAAATAATAACACAACTCAGGTTTTTGATAATTTTCCAACAAAAAACATTAAAAAGTTTGAGATTAGGTAACAAAGTTATACTACTAAAATAAGCACCAGGTAATCCATTTTCATTATAAATCTTAACTGGTATGTAATGATTATATATCATCTAGTAGATATTTTAATCCAACCATGTAGTTAGAGACTCTTTTATCAATAATGCAAGTATAAATTAAAGAGTTTTTCTTACTAAAATGATTAGCTAAACTCAAAGAATTGCTATTGCTATTGAGAAATTACATCAATTGATTGTTTGGATCCATATAGAGTCTAATATAAGTGAAAAGCTTGTCACACTTGATGTAAAAATATTATTTGGCATGATAATATAGGCTAAATTGTTCTTACTTGATGATGCCATCATATATTTTATATGTTCATTCCTTTTATTTTGCTCCATACTGCGGCTTGATTTTCAATTTGGTGGGTATCCTACCAATTTATAATACTCCTTTTTTGTATGACATGTATAATTGCAATGCTTGCATCACAACTTCCATTTAGCTTTAACATGTCTTGAATTGATTTTGGCAGCAAGGGCAGAAAGGCACGTCTCATGGAAGAAACTTGTTTTTCCTCATGAATTACCATAGCTTAAACCTTACTAAGTGAATGAAAAGTCTTAGAACTGAGGATTCGAGATCATATAGTTTTGAAGTTTTTAGTTCATGGACTTATGTGGTATTACCCTGTGAAAATCGCCCAAGTTTTTACCACAACTTTTTTGTTGTCTCTGTGTACGCGATGCTATCATAAAAGTCACGGGATACTACATTAAAGACCTAGGATATGCCACAACTTTCATTGAATTGCGCCTTTTCCAAATAGAAAAATATGGAGAGTGAGGATTTGGTTTTGCAAGTGTTCCATCAACAAAAGAGATTTTTTTTCTTAGCGTGGAGGGTGTTTCCATTGCTCTCCTCCATGTAAAATAGATATCTTTATGGAACAAACATAGTGTTTAATTGTCTAAAGGATGCAAGTGATAATGAGAATTAGTATCGATGAAAGTTTGAGTTTGGAAATCAATGGAGGTTTATGACAAATTTTCTTTTCCCCTCCCAATTGAGTTTGGGGTGTGGTGGTGTCACTGTTTTGTACAGGCTCTGATATCATGAGAAGCTATTGGTGCAGAGAAAAAAAAATTCACACACACTCTCATTAGTCTTGCTTTTATAGACATTAGATACAACATGATTTTAGGAATTATATATGTAAATAAAGAAAGAGACGTTGTGAAGAGGAAAGTGTCATGGTAACTACAATAAAAGAGAATCAAGAGAAAATTTAGTAGAATCTTCAATGGAAAGTAGTAACGTTTTGCATGAAATATTCGACTTAAAACAATGCTATAAATTATACTTAAATTAAATAAAAACATTTTAATTAGATCAATTGAATGTATAAGTGCATAATTTACTAACTATTATCTTAGTAAATTTCATTAAAATATCTTTCAAAATTGGAAGTTCTATCACTTAATATTCAACAAAAACAAAAATAAATCAGTTCCTACAACTTTAATTCGTTTGGTTATCTTCGTAAAATGAAAGAATTTATTTGTTTTTCATTTGGATTAGAGCAACACAAGAAAAGAATCAGTATTTATCTTGCCAAATCAACAGGCTGGTTAGGATTGGAGAACAGAATTCTGCCTGTTAAAGTCTGTCTGCAGAAAAAGGAACTTTTAGGCTATCTTAATATTAGAGTCCATTTGGTATTGTGTCTGGAAGGCATCCATAATGCTGTTAATGGTACAGAAAATCGCCTGCTAAAAGATGTCATTCAAGCTGTGTAATCAGGAACATTTGGGATAAATTGCTGGAAGAAGCTCTTCAAGACCCCCTAGCTTAAGAATTTATGTTACTGATATTGATGTAAAGTCGAATATGCTGTTGCTTTTTGACCTTGGTTTTTCTGCAGATGTAGTTCTTTAGCTCTGCTTTTCTGTATTCGAAACTTGTTCCTTGTATCAGTTGGGAAATTCCATGGAGGATATCAGACGGAATTATTGCCGAAAACTCAAATGCAAGCATTCTATAAATGTCCAACTCAGTACGGACAGAAACCTATCCTAAACGAACTCTTAATGTATAACCATCAACCGAAGCAAAGCATATAGCAGTACGCATGAGCACGATCAAGAACAACACAACCAACCATTTAAGAAATGGGTTGCGCAAAACCAATAGCAATGGCAACATAAGAGAATCAAATTTGTTATACCCCAACCTTTTGTAACTTGGACAACTTCATACCAATAATTAAACAGAATTTTATAAAATGCGAGAGATGTTTCCAGGTAGAAAACTAAAATTGAAGGAAATTGTTGCAAAGAAACAGGTCAAAGTAGCAGAACAAAAATAATAAGACGGGAATAAAAAATCTAAATATGCCAGCCCCTGCTGCTACACATAGGAGATGTAAGAAAAGGAGCAAATTGTATTATTTCACTGGGTTTCGGCGCACATCTGGCATGTGGTTGTGGTCCTGGGATTGGCATATGTGCAGTGCTGACAAGTCCAAGCTCCTCGATTACATGCCTCGCATGTCTCTGATGAACCCGGATTCATGTAAGAACAAAACTCACAAGACCATTCACCCTGAGGTGTCAAATTGTCAGCAGTTCTCCTCTTTGTTTGAGTTGTAATCTCAAGGGCAACACCTTTTTTTTTTTTGGGTGCTTTTGTCTTGTTTGGATTTGCAGAAGTCCTTGTTATAGCTGTGTAGAGATTCGAGGACTTGTCTTCAGGAGTTGTCATTCTGTTGCAGGTCTCGCCTGCTGGAACTTTTAGTCTTCTGCAGATCGAGGTTTTTTGTTGCTTCGAGGAGCTAGCCACGTCTGATAGTCCATTCTCTAATGCTGTAACCAAATTCTTAAAGTAATTTTTGGTCACTCCTGTCAGATGGATTAACTTCAACCGAAAGTCATCGAAACTGACAGAAAGTTTATCAGGATCAATAAATATCTCAAGTTCCCTCTCTGCACAATCATGAAACCTTTCCAAACTGGATTCCGCCTGCCCTTGCAAGTACTCGAATAATTTTGCCTTAGCATCGTCATCCTCTGCTAGGTAATACCCGTATGCATAGGTCCATTTCAGCACCCGCCGACATTCAACTATCTGCTGCCAGGCCTCGGTCAAGAATTCAAGCTGAGTCTCAGGTTGGCCATAGAGTTTCGAGATCTCCTTTAGATGATTGTTCCGCACCTTTCCCAAGTCTGTCAAAGCAATTTGCCTCGACTTTTCATTAGCTGCCCAGCGATCATAATAATGTTGGTATTTAAGCAACTCTTGCCGCAATGGACTAGTTTCCTCAGGCTGAGGATTTCCAACATACCTGTTGCAAGAACCTCCATAACCATGAACAGACCAGTCTTTAAGGCATATCCAGCAAAACATATGATAACAAGGAGTTGTGCATGACATGCGCATACATCCCGCATTCTTCTCAATCGGTCTCTGGCACTTGGGACAAGGCTTGGTATAAGCTTTCTTCCACGTCTCATTTTGAGAGTCTGAACTGTTCTTCAAATTCCATTTTTCCACAGTATCACATCCTACTGGTCGATGTCTTTCCTCACAACAATTAAAGCAAAACGAATGAGAGCACACGCAAGTAACATCAAAGTCTCCATCGCAGCCGACAAAATCAATAGCATAATCACAACCTGGAGCAGGACACCACTTTCTCCTCTTGTTGCTTTCTACATAAGACCTAGCAAGGTAACGATAGTACTTTTTCCTATCTTCCTCGAACCCCAATTCGTTAATAACATCATCACCAACAGCAGCAGCACATGTTGGTTCAGGACACCTTAGAACCAAACATCCAGGACCATCATTGATGTTTGTGTGAATATAAAGTCCCCAGCATTCAGAACAAAAAGGATGACCACAAGTGACAGATTTAATGAAATCTTGACTATAAGATTCAAAACAAATCCCACAAGTCAGATCATCATAACTGACTTGTTTTTCTTCCGGCTTCTCCAGCAACAAGCCTACCTTCTTACGGACTCCGAATTCGTCAGCAAACCACGCATCATGTACTTTACAAACATTCCAATTGTAGTGACGAAGTAGAAGACTTGCCTCGAGTTTCGATATTGAGAGCACATCAGATAACTCTGTGATCTCATGCTCGATACATCGGCAAATATCGGCCTCTTTCAAGACGGTAAAGTTTGTTTCACTGGAGTCAGTATTGTCATCACTGGAGTAATCCGTGGGTGAGTAGTCATCGAAATCATCGAAATCATCGAAATCGTTCATGTCAGCCATGTTGACAGAAATTATGAGACCGCAAAGCTTTGTTCAAGAGGGGATTTGTACACAGGATATATCCTATACCAAGAGTAAAAGCCGTCTGTATTCTGTAGGGCGTAAGTCAGCTGTTACAAATAACCTAGGAGAACCCGAAACCAAGACGGAGAGAGGGCTTTGTTTGGTCTCCTATTATTATTGAAGTTGTTAAACTAGCGTGTGCAAATTGCAATCCTCAAAGACTAAGTCTCCTCTTTGAATAATTAAAAAGAAAGGAATAGTGATAGTTTTTTTTATTAATAATAATACCCAATTTATATTTAAATATCAATCAAATTATATTTTGATAAATAACTTTAATTGGGCAATTTAATTATTTAGATTCTCATCTAATTACATCAACGGAAACAACCTAGATCATCTCCCATCTAATTACATCAACGGAAACAACCTAGATCATCTCCCATGTTTGGGCCTATATTTGATTAAACCCAAACTAAGTCGTGTGTTTTTTTTCTGTTTTTTTCTTTTCTTAGAAGTTGTTTAAAGATTACAGTACCATAAATTAAAGTTAAAAATAATTTTTAAAAAATAAAAAATATTATTTTAATATATTTCAAGATTAAAAAAAAAAAATCATTCACTACCACACTTAGAAACACTACTCTAATAAGTTTTTCCAATGGAACGAGACTGTCTCTTGCATCATAAACTGGGAAAAGGAGGCTATAAATGGCTGTCTAATTTCCCACCTGTTTATGGTTGGCGTTTCGACTATGACCAAAGAGATGAAATTCAAGATAGAAAAGTAACATTACAAGGAGTCAGACTTTGCGGCTAAACGAAAAGGAGGCATGTCTCCAAATTGGATCCTTTTACAGTGCACTAGGAACAAAGTTCCACTCAACCCGGTTCAGTTACAAACTCCCGGTTCAATTACAAACTCCCGGTTCAACTCAAGACTCTGAAATTGGCGAATGAACCGAATATAGGGAAAACTTCGAAAAAAAATAAAAATAAAAACCAAAAAGAATGATTACAGTATGTTAGCATAGACCTATTTAATAAGTTAAAAATTATACAACAGAACACTCTTTACACATGGACGCCAGAAGCTCTCTCATTTCTGACACGGAAAGGATGCTTTCATTGGGATAGATCTTTGCAACTAGTTGTGCAAAACTCTCATACTTGTCCAAGAAATCCTTCTGTCAAATTAAGATAAAAGGTACTTCAACACTTCAGCTAATATTTTTAGGCAAAACAAAGTTTTACTTGCTTCACCATGAAGCAAAGCACAAACTGTTTGCAATAAGGGGAAGAAAAAAAAAGATTCATGTAGCCCAGCATCAACTAGTTCATAATGAGGAAGGACCTTTAAAGGTAAGGAAAGGAAAGAAAATAGAAGGAACAATAGCGTTCCCCCGTTTGGATGTGCAAGGGAAACACAGCAGATGAGAATTACTTTATTAAAACTATTCTTAACGAGGGGAGCAATTCCTCTTTAATTTCATACAAAGGGTATTTGTTTCATTGAAGAATCTTAACAACCCTCAACAACTGCAGTGGGAGAGTGATGATTTCTATTATTTGAGGGTTTTCTACCCTGAAAGAGCCCACCTTCCTCTATCAAAAATGAGAATCAAAAAAGGTTTGGGGGTTCTAAACCCACCTTTCCCTTCCATTACCCCCGAAACCCCTAAAGAATTTAAGTTGAGTTTCCATTTTTAGGTTAATAAATGCTTTGCCCGTGACTCGAATTCCTTGGCAGGTTACTACATGCTTTGTTCATAACTCAAATTCTTTGTTGATCAAGAAATTTGCAATGTTCAAACACCCATTACTTACCAACTAACTTTCAAGAAACATTCAAGACAGAGACCTAATATTAAGGAAATGAATTACCTTGCACTTATCCCACAAAGAAGGCAACAGTTCTGAAGTTAAGTTCTTCTGTAACCTCTTATACATTGCACTAATAGACTTGGCAACTTGTTGCAGAACAACCATGTTATTACAACACTAGCTTTGAAACCAGACTCCAGAGACAAACAGACTATTGTGAATGCATTAACGACTTACCCCAGATAAACTAGATTTTAACATCTTCCGGAGATCCATTTTTGACAATCCAAGCTGGAAAGGGTCTCAAAGGAACAAAATAAAAGGTAACAACATTTCAGTGTTTAAACAATTTGAACTGACAATTCATAAACCTTAGAGAAATATTGACAGAGATGTGATAGTATGACTTCTATCAGTTCTTTGCTGGCATCATGTTAATATCAATTGCATCCATATAACTGGAAAAAAGAACAGCAATTCTTAAGTTAACCAGCATAGACTTGTAGAATAGCACACCAATATTTGATTATGGCTGCAGGGCACACAGGTTTCCCAACAAGCAAGGCAAAAAGAAAAGGAGAAAAGATTTAAAAAGTCATGGTTTCATTCTGTTTATCATTGTTTTGATGAATGAATTAGTATCTTCTATCTTCTATCTTAATGCGAATCATGTAAAATATACAAACAAAGAAACAAAGAAAAGAAAAGGAGGTATCACACTATATCCTATCTTCAATAGAAGTTCATAACAAACTCTGGGAAGCTACTATGGTGGGGTTTTCTTCTAATCAACAACCATGGATGTCATTTGATCATCCCAAACTAGCCTCTTCTGGTGTTATGGTGAACATCAAATCCTCAATCTAGCGAGTAAACTGGAAAAGTTTTTCAAATGGCTGCAGAAAGCAAACTTCATGAGGAAAAGAACCTTCAAAGTATTAAGGTTAAACTCATTGATGGTTCAGCAAATATTTGCAACCAGAAAGACCACATTGCAATAATAGACCCACAAAAAAGAACACGGAATAGGATTGCTTGCATAGAGGATAATCATGCTGATAAGACGTGTACAAGCTTGTTCATAAGCTTCGCTTGCCTGGTGATAAAATTTGGCTAAAGTTGGCACAACATTGGCAAGGTCATACAAGCTGCTAGCAACTGTTTCTAATCAGCAGACTTGTTGATGAAGAAGAATTTTTTTTTTTCCAGAATCAGGATTATTCAAAGAACTTGGAGAACATTCCAAGATATGAGAGGAAAGACAAAAAAGAATACCTATTTTGAAATGCAGCATAGTTGTCTAAAAGGAAAACATCTGCATATTTTGGATCTGCTTGTGCAATTTTCTCCAAACTCACAAGCATTATACCAACCTGTCAAATAACCTCCCAGATGTAAAACTCACTTGTACTAAATAGGGGGGCAATAAAAAACTATACTGAACGGTCTGCCAAAAAGCAAAAAAAAAAAAAAACATTTGAGAAAAGACTACTCACAAATTTTGTGTGCGCTTAATCAACCAAATCCCTAGATTGTCCCTGGATAAACTGCTCCATACGAGTTGCAAGAGTTGCAAATCTATGCAAGACAAGGTTGAGTCATTTTGTAAGATGCAAAATAAAATTTTGACCAATGTTACATACACAGTTCATAAAGCATGGAACAAAAGAGCTTGTCATTGCACGTAATGCATAAACTTGCAAAACTATTGCCAGGTTTAGGTATTATTAGTTTAATGTTAGTTTAAAATACAGCTCCAGTTGTCAATCATAAACCTAAGCAGGCAAGCATATCCTATCTCAAACTCAGTAAAATATGCAAGTCAATTATAGCCACAGGCAAGAGGTAAGTATCATACTTGAGTAGTGAACACAGAAGCAATGAGCATAACAAAAACAGTTCTAATCAAATTGTCAAGTGGAACAACTATCATTAAAGTAGTGTATTCTGATCATTTCACAGTAAATGTTAGCTAGATGGTCCGTGTCTGTTAGTGTGCACATTTATAATCCTCTTGGGACATATTATACACTTGCATCTTAGTCTGCCAATGACATTTGTACCTTAAGTCAGCATGGTCAGGCCTCTTTAACTGTCCACGCTGTTTCATGCAAAGTACAGAAGCAAATATTAGAATTCCAAGACCCGAAACTTGTCCTTGTAATCTGTATGAAAACAACAGAAAGCTGAAAATACTTGTGAAAAGTAACTCTTGTCGCTTATCATGAAACCACCAAACTTGCAAAGTAGTTCCTCAAGAACTCAGAAGCTCTCCTGACAAACATAGTTTTTAATTTTTCACGTTCTGTGCGCTTTTCTTGAACCTGTAAGAACATAATCCACTGTTTTAGAAAGAGACAATACACTAAACATACTACAGTAACAGAAAACTCTGTCATCTAGCTCCATCCTAAAATCTGAATATATATATATATATATATATATATATATATCCAACTGATTAGAGTCAATCAATTCATGTTCTTGGGCTTTTATAGGAAAACATAAAGATCATGTCATTGACAATTGAAAAGAGAATTGTCATGTATGGGTACCGTGTATTCAGGATATCATTTAGACATTGATGACAAATCAGCAATAAAAAAATAATGGAAAAAAATTCATACATCTACATGCATAAATGAATATTCTCTCACAATCTTTTTAATAACCTAGTTTATCATTTTGTAGGTAGAAAAAATCAGGGAGAAGAAAGTGGCACAGAGCATATAGCACGCATATTTGCATAGCTTGGATCCAAATTAGGCACTTGAAGTCCACGGAAAGCACCAGTTAACCACTCACATGCTTCAATGTTTTGAAGCATGTGAGCCTCATCAAATGAACCTCCTGTTAGACATACTGCATACTACAACCAACAAAGCGTGATTAGAGGATGGGAAATTTGAACACATTGCCATAAAAGTGATCAGTTGACATGAAAGTGACGAAACACATACTTCAGAAGGGACCCGCAGTCGTTCAAGTAGCTTATCAAGTTCTTCAATGAGTGATACATTATTTACAGACTGCATCTCCAATTTGTTATTGCAGGTTTCTATCTGGATACCATAAAATGAATAATCATACAGCTGCAGAGATAGATGTAAGGCATGTGTTTGAATATATGCATAGATCCATAATGCATGTCATACTAGGAAATTTGAGATATTCATTTGAAGCAGACTTGCAAAAGTAATGAAAACATTAAGATGCAAGTTGAACACTTTCTTCTTATAGCCTACACATTTTTTCCTAATATACCAACATGGCATGTACAACAAAAAAGTGGGGAACCAGGAGAAACGCCATAGCAACCCTAATTAGGAACAGTTCAATGTCAGCAAGCACTTACTGATTCAATGTCTTCTCTCATATGTCTAAGTTTCATGTTGAAAATGCCTAACCACTCATCCATGTCATCAACACAATATGTTGCAGCTTCAAGCCCTTGCAACACCTGAAAGGGCCAAATATCAATTCAGACTAGCAAGATCTGCCACTGTTACACAACTCCACAGGATGTGGCGAAGCACACAATGGACTAATGAACAGGCTTAATCTTCAGAAAGTGTAATACACATCAAAAGGTAAAGTGAAAAAAACCTCTGCTAGAGAGAAACTGCAATAAACCCATACACAAAATCACAGCCTTTGTGGAATTATCTCTTCTATTAAAGATTCACTTTCTAAAATGGCATGCACATTTGCAGCTTCCAGAGCAAGAAGCTAACGCTTCAACCTTTCTGAAAACCCCTCTGCTTCACCAATACCCATTAAGTAACTGCATGGTATTGTATAATTGAAAGAATCAAGTGGGTTAAAAAATTAAAAACAAAAGGGAGCACAAAAGAGTTACAATTATTTGTAATTATTTTCATACAGGAGATGTCTTCAATTCCAAGAAAAAAAAAAAAGGGACAGGCAGACTTTCACAGAACCTGCTCACAGTAACCTTAAATGAGAATGCTATTGTGGTTGTGTTGTGAGATCAAGGAGGATAGTTATGAAAAAATTATAGGCAGCTTCAACAGAAACAGAAGTCAAATGGATGGGGGTCATAGCCAGCATGGGCCATTTATTGCACAGTAACGAGCAATTTTCTGATGTAAATTAAGTTTGGATTTTTTAAATGAAAACTTTGGAAGTTCTTCTAACAATGAAAAATCTAGGGATGGATCCCCTCCCCGTGTCATGAAACTTTCGAGGGTGAAAATGTAGACTGTAAATCATGGGTAAATTAAAGGATGTTAGCATATCAGTCAGAAACCGAGGCACCTCAATGAAAAATATTCAGACAAACAGACTGAAAACATGCTATTCATATTCCTTTTCCTCCTTTGGCTAAAACCTTTCCGAGAATAGTGCTATTTAGCCAAAAATATGTGTCAACTCTCAACCTGACTAAAAAGCTTTGCAATAATGAAAGGAAAGACTTGCCAAGAAGAGACAAGTTCTCTTTCAACAGTCACTTTCTGGGACAGTAGCTGAAACACCCACTCCATCTTGCTGATTCGTTTGCTTGGGAACTGCGGGTGTAGTTTCCTTTTTTGAAGTAATAAATCATAATTAGTTAGAGAACTAAGTCATGCACCATGATCTAAGATAACCAAGCACTTCATTAACTGAGTTCAGACTGCATACTGTTGAGACCAGCGTGGACTTCAATTCAATCTCACCAAACAACACCCAAAATGTGAAATATTGTTGTCCCAATTTGATTATAGATTATGGCATTCAAACACAGTTTCCAGAAAGTTGATTCACAGAAAAATGACTTGCAGCATTACTGATTCAATGGACAAGAAAACTGAAAAGTGCACTTCAATTAGGATAATCATATACAATGATAAAATTCAATAATACTCAAGATGGAGAAGTAGCCAATCATAACTCTTAAAACAGATAAATAGAGACGTAGAAAACCATCAATCACACCTTAGCCCAAAGTGCCATCTCCACAACATCTATGCCAACAACTTTTGGAAGACGGCCAAGGACATCACCACCCACTTATACTGATTTTTTTCGAACTTATTTTTCTAACTAGCTAGCACATTTCCTTTTCTTTTTCTTTTTTTGTCGTAGGAACCGCCTTTTATTTTGCATCTTAAACATCTGCAAAGAAAGGAAACAACATTGCGTGTAAAAAAGAAAAAGAGCAGAAGATGAAGTGGGTGGTGAAACAACAATGCTTACCTATCATCAATATTGCGCATTGTCCATTGCGGTGGAGTAACACTCTGGCTTCTAAGGTTATCAAATCCCTGAAAGTAAGTTCAGTCAGAAAAGGAAAATAAAAAAGTTTCTCATTGTCTCCAGAAGTGATTCTTTAATCCAGATAGTGGGTAAACAAGAAGCACTGGTGCAATAAATGCTGAAGCATAGCAGGGTAAACGAGCATCCACTGGGCTCATAAGCTATAACCTCCACTTCGGAGAGATGCTTGAGTTTGTATGACTTTGCTGGCTGCATAATCGAGTGAATACACGAGCTTAAGACATGCATTCAAGCTTTTGAATTAAATCAGTAAAGATGTCATCACATACAACATTTCTATGTGAGAAGTTAAATTAATTTCTGATACAAAATCGAATAGGATTCACACATTTATATCACCTCAACCCAACAGCATAAGAAAGAAATGTAAAACAGACATTAAAAAAAAAAAGTAAATATTACCTCAAGTACTCCTCCAGTTGAATATTTTAGCACTCGAAGAAAGGCTTTCGTCCTCTGACCCTCAGATTTTGCTGCAAAAAAAAAACAATCGCTTTCAATTCCATGACAGCTAAAAGAAACTAAAACGAGAGAAAGAGGGGATTGGCTTTGGCATTACTGGAGAGAGCGAGAACCCTAGGTTTGGCCATGTGACGTCCTAATTACCCAGATTTTCCCCAGATCCCATGGCTCTCCGCAACACGGATCGACAGTACGATCTTCTGTTTTTTGCCTTCAATTGCTGCCTCGCAGGCTCTCCTTAGCTCCTCGTCATCAGCGCTCGATTTTGCCATTTCTCCCTTCCCCTCTCCTCGTTGATTTTACTTTCTTTCACTTGCTTAGCTCGCCAACCAGAGATTTTCCCAGTGCTTAATTATTGTTTTGTTTCTAATAATAATAAGAAGAAGAATTAATTGCTTGTTTGTTCTTCGCATTCTAGGCATGGTACTACAGTTCTCTTCTCGCCTGCTTTAGTGTGGGGTCCCATCACCAAGTCCCTTTGGGTTGGGCTTAGGTCCGATTGGGATAGATAAATCTCCTCGAGATATTTTTTAGGCGGATTTGATTGAATCCGATGTTTTGGGGGGGGAAGCTGTGATGGATAGTGGACGTCCGTCAACAGACAACTCTTACTAATATTTACTAGTTCCGATCAACAGTCGATGTTAGATAAGCATTCCATTCATTCATTCCGTTTGCAAATGTGACTGAAAATGGTCAATTTGTCATTATTTCTCCAATGCCTGTGGAATTGCATCTTCTCTACCAATCAAAACAAAAAAAAAAAGTGTTTACATTTGACTTGTTAGAATACCATTCTAACGACTCTGCCTCATCCTGGAATATTTGTATGAGATCGATCTGGAAACCTAAGCTGAAGCTGAAGCTTCACATGGTATGTTCCACCGACGTCAGTGGGCTGTGGATCAGTCTGTGCAAAAACAGCGAGACCTCGAGCAAATGCGAATGATCCAGTTCCACCAACCACCGTGAGTTCTTCTATGTCTTTATGCTCTACATGCTTGGCCTGCACACTGAGGCTGCCTGAGTAATCAGGTGTATCAAATGTGAGGTAGATAATATTGAAACCTGAATACGCAAAATGTTCTATTGGAATTATGAAGCCTTGAGCTTTTCCTATGACCCGTGAAGTGTTTTCGAGCCCTTCTGTGAGCTTACGATGAAAGATGAATGCTCCAGCTTCGGATCTTACCGCTGGCTGAACGTCAGAACTCGAGATTTGAGGTTGCTGGATGTACAATGACAGGGCCAGCCAAGGCCTAGGCCTAGGCCTTGTCGAGTTATCTGATTGATTTTTATCATGAGGGACTGGTGAGATCAAAGCCAGGAGGAGGACTGCAAGTAATGCTAAAGAAACTGCAGTGCAGAGTATGATCCGACACCGCATCATGCACGCAACCTTCTTGGCTCTTTGAAATATGCTAGCCTTGAATGTGCTCTTAAGAGGGCCTGTCTGAAGCATGCCTTGATTTGGAAGATGCAGCTCCTCATCACAGATTTTGTAGCCACCCAATCCACATCTTCAGACCCGTTCCTAATCCAACAATGCCATGAATGTCGAGAATACCAACTCCATTTGCGAGCTAACCAATACCTTTAAATATAATTAAAGAGCTAACATATTTCTGCTGGCTACGTTTTGATGAAGATTGTAGATTTTAATCTCCTAGATTTTACCAGCTCAATGTACACAATCGAGTATATTCACTCCGGAGTTACAATATATTTTTAAAGAAGGAATCTTGAGCCGTTAAAGAAAGCATGATCAGGTTTGTTGTTATTTTTATTGATTGACGCTTTTCTAGAGTGAGAATTTTATCTTTTTTAATGATAGATTTACATTTTATTTTAAAATATTTTAAAATTTATTTTTGACATTAATCAATCCAAAAATATTTGAACTCCTTACACTTTAAATACCTCTTCAAAATTAAAAATATCCATTTTTCTTTAAAAAAAATACAAAAAAATAATAGTATTGATAAAATGTTTTTTTTTTTTTTAAAAAAAATACAAAAAAATAATAGTATTGATAAAATGTTTTTTTTTTTTTAGCTCGAAGAAAATGGTACTTTAAGAAGCAGTGCTAATTTTTATCAATAATTGTTTCTCACGAAGGAAAAAAATGATAAAAGACGACACAGCACCCCAGAAGAACTTCCATTGAATGGTGTGCCAAGCGATACTGGAAAGTCACCCTTCCCGCACAGGATTCTTGCCTCGAAGAAATAGCGCCTAAGGAAAGCTGACCACGGTCACTTCCACAAAAGTTTTCAGTTTTACAGGGACCTTTGAGTCATCTCCTTGAGCATCAAGTCTCCATCCCCCTGGATGCACACAAGTTACAAACAAAATGCAAAAGGCTTGAAAGCAAGAAGACAAATAACTAAATAAGGCAAAATGGGTCCGCGGGGTGACCATCTGTTCGCCATTTGTGTGTGTGCCCCCACTCCTTGACAAAACACAATTCCAGTTTCTTGAGAGTTCAAACAATTAAAGAGCTGCAAACATGCCCACTTGCCGATAGAGCGAGTCTTGTAACATAATGTTTGGTAGGGAAAATAGCCAAGCAAACACAATATATCTACCTGCCAAGTAAACGCAGCAACTGTACAAAAAAAAGAAGAGCAGAGAGAGAGGGCACTTACGAACCAACTAATCGACTTCCTTTCTCAAGATTGAATTGTAATTAAACTAAACTGGCTAAGAACCAGAAATAAGAATTTGGAAGGCTCAACTATCATTCACTTGTATTTGGAAGATCACTATTGCTTGAAAACAATTGGGCGAAAAGCTTATATTGTTAACGAGCACTCCGCAAGAGAATACGAGACCCAACCACCATCTGGTGGTTCTTAAAAATCATAAAGTGAAGCAACATCATCCAGCTGTTAAATATCACTGTAGCTAGTAGCTTCATCCATTTCCATCTGTTCTAGCTAGATGCTTCATCAATGTTCATCTATTCTGACAAACACCAGAGCCAAAAAAAGAATAAACAAAATATCAAGGACAAATTGACTTCGGCGAAAAAGATAACCTTAAAAGAAGATTTATTAGAATAAAAAAGCAACCCCATGCCTCTTGACCTTAGTTTAGGAAGGTTAGCATCACCAAGAGGAAAATGAACTGGAGTCAAGAAACCCAACCAAAACCTACTCGACCCTGAATAACTAGGGGCTTGCAAGGTGCCTTTTGCAAAGAAACCAGGGAATAATACGATGAATGCAATCTAATTCCAAAACCAAACAGATCTTAGAAGGTTATAAAAATTGTTCCACCATGCAATCTCTATTATCTAAACTCATCTGAATAAATTTAGGCTGCTTTATACCACTTTAATCAATCCCACCAACCACGGAACAACAGTTTCATTGAAATGTTCCCTAGCCTGCAGGATACTGCAGTTAAAGAGAGTGCAAGGCTTGATAATGGCAAAAACTTGCTCTTCCTGTCATAACAGGAAAACGAAGCAACAATCATGTATCATACATGAAAACTCCACTTCCATAGCCTATCGGGGTTCTTCAAGCTTATATTTTAAACTTGGAAGCTAAGCAAATTCAAACACAAATCTCCAGATATAACGGTCTCTCTCGAAAACTCACCCAGCAAGGAGTTGAACTTTGGAATTAAATGTTGCATCGATGCACTAAGCACTCATATGATATTGATGCAACAAAGATAAATTATCAGTTGATAACATCACCTGAAGCCTCGCTGATTTACATAGAACCAGCTTTTACGTGTGAAGCAAGTGGAGGGAGACAAATTCAGCTTTTATGTCTACTAGACTAAATGAACCCAACGTAATAGGGAATATTTTTTTTTCTAAAAAGCAAGGAAAGTTTATTCAAAATTCCAATAAAATATAGTAAAGAGAATCACGTTATTAACAAAGCAAAAGAGGAGATGGAATAGCTATATGATGCATGCAGTGGGAGCAAATGCAATTATATCATCATATGCATCTCTCCTCCTTACCCCGGGCTTGAGACCGGCTGTGAGCCATGCATAGTGCCCACAGGCGGAGTTACATGCATACAAACACACACAGAGCAGCATGCATAGAAAAGCAAACTCTAGCAAACAACCAAAGACCCTAAAAGAAACGAAATCAATCCACCCAATTAACAATGAAGCAATAAACTAAAGCCTGCAAAGTCCCTTGAAATAATACTGAGCAGCATAATTCTTCCAACTCTAGCTCGCCCCATAATCACACTTGGACAAATAAATGCCCATCACCAAAATCCAAACAGAACCAAAATTCAAGCACACTGCAATCCAAGCATATGCATCAAGATTATCGCACAAAACACATCATAAAAAGCAGCTGCCATGGACAATCAGCAATTTTAACCCCAACAGCTTCATTTCCGACACTCACAACACGGGAGATAGCCAACAGATTCCAAGAGTCATATAACCATCTGGTGAGGAAACATGTTTTGCATAAATGACTCGACACTTTTGCTTGACTAACAAACTGGTAATCATCCCTTGCAATCACAAAAGCAATCTTGATACAAACCAAGGCCAAGAGATAAAATTCAGTAACCACAGCTATTACCACATAAGCAACCACTTTAGAAGGACTTCAGCCAAACTACAAAGATCCCATTAACCAAAGTGAAGTGCACCAGATTGATAAGAATTTTGAAGACAAAAACAGTAACCACAGCTATTACCACATAAGCAACCACTTTAGCAGGACTTCAGCCAAACTACAAAGATCCCACTAACCAAAGTGAAGTGCACCAGATTGATTAGAATTTTGAAGACAAAATCACGTGCCAATCCCTGAAAAGGACATGTCAAAGCTACTCCACATAATATTTGGAAAAGGTATCCATCAAAAACTCCAACAGCCGAGTAAACACCACCACTTTATGCAAAGACAATAGGAAATACGAATTAACCCTCTAGAAGCCAGTCCTAGAAAAAACAGTAGGCATCTGAAAAATTTCAAACACTCCATTGGTGTGTTCTGCTTTCAAGCTGAATCTCCTTCTTGTTCTGGAAGCAGGGAGAAAGTCTTTTTCCTTGCCTTTTACCTCTCGTATTCAGAACTGACAATCGAAAAAAATGCAATCTTTGTTGTCTAATAGAACAAACACTAATACCTTAATCACGTCGGTAAAGATTCAATCTGTTTATAACAGTGCTTCTCTTATTGCGCAAGACATCTCTTTTCAACTGAGCAACAAAAGAAGATCATTTAGTTCACTTTTTAGTAAAATAGTGAAGGAACAAAAACCGATATCCAGGAACCAAGAAGACAGCACAACAAAATTGTATTCAGAAGGTAGAGGCTGCTACATGCATCAAATATCTTTGGCCAGTAAGTGCAGAAAGAACCAACTACTTCTAGTACAGAACAGACCAAAAAACACTTCACAAGAATATCCGAGACTAGACCACCATCTTCTAATCCCATAAATCACCAAACCAAGCAACATACTGTATCCAAACAATTTATGAGAGGTGTTACATACCACAAGCTTTATTCTGTGTCTAATCTGTTCTCTCACAAAGCTCATGCACCAAGAAACATAAGCATAAGAACAAGAAATTCTTCCAACACTTTCATACAAGTACTTGCAGGTATCCCAATAAGAAGCTGATCAGTCAACCACAATCAACACAAAGCACAAGCAATTTTGGAGGAAAGAATATAGCCTGAAGAAAATTCATATAGGAACATAAAGCAATGCCAGGAATAAAGGACTCTAAATTCACCTAAATTCACTTGAGCTTTGTCCAGACTGCAAAACAGAAGGGCAAGTAAATTTGATAGAAAAATAGAAGGAAAAAAAAAAAGAGCAACCAGAACCCACTTGTCAGTAAGATCAAAAGCAATATACTTCCTTGTATATGTAAAACCCCGAAAAAGCAAACATAAAACCAATCTGAGCCTATCAATTTTGTAACACTTAAAGGACTCCTGCAAAAATGAGTAAACAATCCTCATAAATTATAGTCTTACTCGATGCAATTATTTATGGAACTCACCAAAAAAAAAGGAAAAAGAAAAAAAAGGATGTGGATGAATATCAGTTCAGAAGTTGAACAAAAAACCAGGCACAACCTAAAGAACAGGGAAAAGCTTAGATGTGTTGTGAGAAGTTGAAACATAAGATTTTCATTAAAATTAATTAAGACATGAAAACTGAAGAGATGGTACATTGCAAGTTCTTGCTAAATTCCTCAACTACAAAAACATTTGTGATGGACAAAAGAAGAAAATATACAAAAAAGAAATGCTGCAAGTATAAAGTTTATATGGAAAGGAATAACATGTCAATAAATAGGTTCAATTTTGTTTTCCATAATAAGCCACAGAAAACTCTACTTAACTAATAATTACCCAGCTTTTATTGGTTCATACTTTGCTGATAACACTTGACAGGATCTCTTTGAAAAAAATGCACAAACAGACCTCCATCTGAGTATAAAAAATCAAAATGACAATAAAGAAGCAGTTGGTGCTTTGCTAGTTGTGAACCCTATCATCATTTGATTGTGAAACAAATAATGTAAATCTTGTAGACACCAGGATAAACACAATCAAAGCACGGTCAAAAAAGCTGTTGTAGATAATACAAATAGCAGCAGCAGCAATCAAAAGCCAGAAGAGAACTCCTTGGTGGACCTTGGCTGGTATTCATTTAATTAAGAGAACAGTTGGTGCTTTGCTAGTTGTGAACCCTATCATCATTTGATTGTGAAACAAATAATGTAAATCTTGTAGACACCAGGATAAACACAATCAAAGCACGGTCAAAAAAGCTGTTGT